CTTACTTCTATCGCTAAAAGCCAGTAGTGATTTATTTTAAACACTAGAGAAAGCGAAGTCTGCACCAAAAAAGTTGCTTGTGCTAGCAGTCGAGAGAAGCACCTGCGACGCCGTGGTATTCACAACACGAAAAACAATCGCTTGGAAAAGCTCGAATGAAAATTAAATAGGACAAGCATGAACTGCAGGCAAGCAGTTCTGGCAAGCAAGAGCTGTTGCTTTCATTATTTACCAGTGCTCGTTATCACCGAGGCTTCTGTACCTCTTGTTCTGTGGGCCAAAATCTAAAATTTAGTAGCCTAAAAATAATGAGTAAAATTTTTATTTATTATCAATATACGAACGTGATGTTACCACTCCTAACCATCGATAAGGTGAGGTACCTTACCGACATCTAGGAGTGGGAATGCTATCAATATATAACAGCGATGTTTCGAAACGACTGCATTGCAAGTCCTTTTTTTCCGGAGAACTGCTGTGTCCGTAAAATTTTATGGAGACAACACGAATAACAGGATTGCCAACAGGCTGCCGACCTGACAATACATACTGATCAAAGGAACAGGAAAAGTGCATAAGTGGAAAAACATTAGCAGGTGCTCATAATATTCCAGATGCCAAAGTACTGCTTTTTCTTCTAAAATTCGGTATAAAGTCACGCTTATCAAGATAAACAGAATACACTATAGTAAAAATCTGTCGAGAAGCCAAGTTTACTTAAACCTCTGAACACTACCGCACCGTGATGAAATTTCGTAATTAATGAAACAACGTTTTTAAGAACAGTTTTGATGTAACAGGCATTTATTGGATGTGGATTACGGTATCGATAGGACAGTGGCTTTGCCGCAAATTCGTTATGCGTGTGTGCATACATATCAATGTCATAACTAATCTGGAATATGCGGTAGAGAGAGAAGGGGCCGGCCGGCCACTCGAGGAGGACATGACCGATGAGAGGCCGGCATCGTGCCGTGCAGAATCCATTTATTACATCTTCGCACATTTGAATATTCGCACCGACAATACGGTAATTTTGAAATTATGTTGTAAATTTGATGATTCTGAGTTACGCTTCCATCAAATAACCCTTTGCGACCTTCGAAAAGGGACTATGCGTGAAGAAACGGAAATTAACACTGCAAAGTACTCATAAAAACAGTCAACACCGAAGAGCACTTAAGAACTGTTCAATTCTTTTTAAGGCGCATAGCGATCTCACAGCAGTCTAAATTTTTAGGACTTCTGATTAACAGAGCAAAGTTCAGTGGAATCTCACATCAGCATATACAAACTGTTTGAGGAAACAATTCACCACTTAATTTACCAACACCATAGCAGCGATACTGAAGAAGTCTAGTTGTGGTGCTGAATGAGAAATTACGTAGCTCAAAGAAAAATTCGTGTTTATATGATTATTTTATATACACATGTTTTTCTTATTTTGTGCATATCATCACTAATACATACATATGAAATTCAGTGTCGCTTGCAATAGAAACAAGGCTGCAGAAATACTCTAACCAGTGAAGTTCAGCAGACTGTTCGTGCAGAAGATGCCAGTGATATCCCGGAAAGTGCATTTGAAATAAAAGTGTGATTTTCGCCTCCTTATCTTCACTTTTCTGGGCCTGCTTATGCTGATCGTCTTTCATTTTAAAACTTATTGCATTTGAATTATTTTATCAGTGCTGTAACCAAAGATATGTCACTATCCTTGTTACAGTGAAATATACGCACACGCGCATACACGTACATATATACGTATATGCATACAAATGAACACACTTGCTCAAGCTCATACAGTCGCAGAAACTTTGTTGTAAGGAAGCGTCTATAGATATTCAGTGATATTAGTTATAAATGTTTTTTGAATGGAAACACTACATTATTTTGGAAGAAACCAGCGGAAGTATTTACTTTACAAGCAATTACAATTTTTATTGATGTAATAAATGCAAAATTTGATAAGGAAAAAAGCCCAGACGTGACAAAATGTTGCTAATATTTTTTATTTAAATGACGACGATTTCTCATGGTCTCGAAAAAATGTGAAGATATTTAATTCACCTCTAATATTTCAAAAAAAAAAATTGAGTCCGGGTGTAGATCCAGTGAGCGTGTTGATGAAACATAGTTTATGCTTCTCGTGAAAAGAAAAATGATATCAATATGAAAACAAGCAAGTATTAAAATTTGACTCTGTTTGATCGGCCAACTCATCGCAAAATCTCGAAAAAAATTAAAGATAATTAATAAATGAAGGTTCCTTTTCTCTCCGTTTTTCCTCTTATGGGATCTGCAT